TAAAGCCCTCACTGGCCAGAAAGCAAGTCAAATGAAGCTGAAGACACACACACACACACACACACACACACACACACACACACACACACACACACACACACACACACACACACACACACACACACACACACACACACACACACTTAGCATCTTGCCTAGGGCTGAGCAGTAAAACCTAAGAGAGAGAGAGAGAGAGTCACAAACATCTTACACACCAAGGCTTTGTTCAGACAGGAAGCAAAAATCTGATTTCAAAAATCCGCCTCAAATCTGCTTAGTTATTTATAGCAAAAAAAAAATGTAATAAATGTGATGTTTATGAACCTATTTTAAACCACAACCATGTGTTGTTTGAAATCTGACTTTTTCACTATGTAGTGAATAGTAAATGAGTCAAAAGGTTTTGGACATTTGCAAAATGACCTAAAGATTGAATATGAAAATCAAATCAGATTTGTGTGCAGTGTAAAAAAAAAAAGCCAGCTCGCATGTATAAGATGTTTGTGAAAGATAAGACCGTTACTGTTGTGATGTCTGTCTGTGTTCCCCCTGTCTTTGTGCACTTGGTTCAGTCCTGTTCCCTGCTTTCCCGCTCACCGTTATCTCTATTAGTCTTCCCAGGTGTCCCCGATTAACCACGCCCCCTTGTCATCTTGTTTAGTTTGTTTGCCCTTGTATTTAAGCCCTGTGTTTCAGTCCAGTGTGTCCTCCGCCGTGGACACGCCCACAGCCTGCTCCGCCGTGGCCACGACCTCAGCCTGCTCCGTCATGGACATGCCCACAGCCTGCTCCGCCCTGGCAGCCTATTCGCCCTGCTCCGCCCTGGCCGCCTGCACGTCCAGCTCCGCCCACATTCCATGGCCCAGGTCCGCCCACGTTCCATGGCCCATGCCCGTCATTGCAAGGCCCTGGTCCCGTTCCCTGCGCGGACCTGGCCCTCCGTCCCTCCCCCGGGACCGCCGGGTGTTCCCCCTGTCTTTGTGCACTTGGTTCAGTCCTGTTCCCTGTTTTCCCGCTCCCCGTTATCTCTATTAGTCTTCCCAGGTGTCCCCGATTAACCACGCCCCCTTGTCATCTTGTTTAGCTTGTTTGCCCTTGTATTTAAGCCCTGTGTTTCAGTCCAGTCCTTGTGAGTTCTTGATGTTGTAATATTGATGCTGGTTGTTCTGTTCCTGAGTCCTGTTGTTCCCTGTCTGAGTCCTTGTCCAGTTTGGAGTTTGTTTAATAAAGTGTGCTGCAAGTGGATCCTGCTTCTTCCTTGTCTCAACCACATCGTGACAGAAGAACTCACCGAAAGATGGATCAAGCAGTTGCCAGCAATGGAGTGCTAATAAGAATGCTTTCGTCAATGTTTCAAGACGGACAGCCGATAGAGTGGTATGTGAGGGACTTTGTGAATTGCTGTCATTTGGGATCCTTGGATGACACCCAGCTCTTGGACCTGTTCTGGAGCGGGCTGGATGCAGATATTGCTCAGCGGATGCCGGACGACTATACCGGCTGGACCCTAGAAGGGTATATCGACCTGGCCCTTTACTTGAGCGGTTCAGCTTTTACTGTGGGCTTGGCCGATGAAACACCCCGCAAGCTCACAGTACCCCCTGAGTCAGTTCACGTCAGCCACGTCCAGCCAGAGCTTCACGTCAGCCACGTCCAGCCAGAGCTTCACGTCAGCCACATCCAGCCAGAGCTTCACGTCAGCCACGTCCAGCCAGAGTTTCACGTCCAGCCAGAGCTTCACGTCCAGCCAGAGCTTCACGTCCAGCCAGAGCTTCACGTCCAGCCAGAGCTTCACGTCCAGCCAGAGCTTCACGTCCAGCCACGTCTGCCCAGCCAGAGACCGTTCACGTCAGCCACGTCTGCCCAGCCAGAGACCATTCACGGCAGCCACGTCTGCCCAGCCAGAGACCGTTCACGTCAGCCACGTCTGCCCAGCCAGAGACCGTTCACGTCAGCCACGTCTGCCCAGCCAGAGACCGTTCACGTCAGCCACGTCTGCCCAGCCAGAGACCGTTCACGTCAGCCACGTCTGCCCAGCCAGAGACCGTTCACGTCAGCCACGTCTGCCCAGCCAGAGACCGTTCACGTCAGCCACGTCTGCCCAGCCAGAGACCGTTCACGTCAGCCACGTCTGCCCAGCCAGAGACCGTTCACGTCAGCCACGTCTGCCCAGCCAGAGACCGTTCACGTCAGCCACGTCTGCCCAGCCAGAGACCGTTCACGTCAGCCACGTCTGCCCAGCCAGAGACCATTCACGTCAGCCACGTCTGCCCAGCCAGAGACCTTTCACGCCACCCCTGCCCAGCCAGAGACCGTTCACGTCACGTCAGTAGGACCCTGGATGGGACTATGAAGGCCGCACCGCCATGGCCGCCCGAAGGGTCTTCTCCGCCGTGGCCGCCCGAAGGGTTTTCTCCGCCGTGGCCGCCCGAAGGGTCTTCTCCGCCGTGGCCGCCCGAGGGGTCTTCACCGCCGTGGCCGCCCGAGGGGTCTTCACCGCCCTGAACGCCCGAGGGTCCGACAGCTCCGCCCTGGAAGCCCGAGGGTCCACAGCCTGCTCCGCCCTGGTCACGCCCACAGCCTACTCCGCCGTGGCCTCGCCCTCAGCCTGCTCCGCCGTGGACACGCCCACAGCCTGCTCCGCCGTGGCCACGACCTCAGCCTGCTCCGTCATGGACATGCCCACAGCCTGCTTCGCCCTGGCAGCCTGTTCGCCCTGCTCCGCCCTGGCCGCCTGCACGTCCAGCTCCGCCCACATTCCATGGCCCAGGTCCGCCCACGTTCCATGGCCCATGCCCGTCATTGCAAGGCCCTGGTCCCGTTCCCTGCGCGGACCTGGCCCTCCGTCCCTCCCCCGGGACCGCCGGGTGTTCCCCCTGTCTTTGTGCACTTGGTTCAGTCCTGTTCCCTGTTTTCCCGCTCCCCGTTATCTCTATTAGTCTTCCCAGGTGTCCCCGATTAACCACGCCCCCTTGTCATCTTGTTTAGCTTGTTTGCCCTTGTATTTAAGCCCTGTGTTTCAGTCCAGTCCTTGTGAGTTCTTGATGTTGTAATATTGATGCTGGTTGTTCTGTTCCTGAGTCCTGTTGTTCCCTGTCTGAGTCCTTGTCCAGTTTGGAGTTTGTTTAATAAAGTGTGCTGCAAGTGGATCCTGCTTCTTCCTTGTCTCAACCACATCGTGACAGTTACCTTGCAAAATACAAATACGTGTGTAATGTGAATGCACACACACACATCACCAAATGCAACTCACTTTCAGATGAATTTAGCTTTTCTCCGTGCTGTTTTCAAAGTCACAAACTAATCTCAGAGTCCAGTGCAAACAGTCAGCAGTTGATCAGCAGGTCACAGTGAGACACCAGACCCCTCGTCTCATGTTTCCATCTTTCCCACACACACCCCTGAGCTCATGAGAAGCTGCTGTTCTCTGTTATTAACACTGCGTTAACTCTTTAACTAAAGCATCAGAAAGAATAATTACAGGCCTATTAAAACACACATACTATATATATCTAGAGGGAACACCATATGCTTCTGTTGTGTGTCGGTTTGAGTACACACCAAAATGAACTACATTTGTTCTAGTTTTGAGGAGTAAAGACTCAATTGAGCACAGCTGATTTAATTTGCGTGCTTATCAAAGCATAAAATGAAATGGAAGATGGAGTAATGATAAAGAAATATGGGCATTGTGCTAACAACTTTCTTCAGGGGCACTCAAATTAAGTGTCAATAAGTTCTGTTTTTTAAGGTCAGTGTGACATAATCAGGCACTAAAAAACTGAATAAAGATTTACTACAGAATTCAGAAATGTTATTATACGTGACAAAAGACACCATGATTACATTTTTATTTATTTAACATTGTTTACAAAATGTTCATTTATAAGTAATATGTTATGTCAATATATCTATTTTTACAGTTTTTCAAAAATGCTTACACAGTTTTTCCATTTCTCTAAACTCTACACACAAACCACGCACACAAGCAAAAGCAAACACTTCATTCAAAACTATTTGACACTTTTGACTTGTTAGAGCTGCTTTACAGCAGAATTTAAATTTGTTACTATTGTGAAGCTGCAGTGAAATAATCTATGTGTGTATGTGTGTGTGTTTTACAGGAATAGCACTGCCTTCCATTGTTCTCCTCTCTGCCTCTTTCCTGAGTACCCCCTCTGACACACTTCCTGTGGTTCCTGACCACCAGTCCACACCAAACACTGATCATATACTGCCTGTTATATAACACAAATCTATACACATACAGAGCTAAGAATGGGCAGCATGTTAGAAATACAACATTCAAAATGCTTTCTCCTTTCCGAGCTTAATATGCAAAGTAAGCCAAATAAGCTATTTGTGTTGTTTTCCCCCCAAAAAGTGTAACACAGCACTTTGGTGCTATAAAAACACGTTCTCAACCAACACAGCTCTGCCTCCATCCCAAATTTAAGTTATGGTTGAGCCAATGTTGCTATCTGTTTGTAGGTAGGGTAAATGCTAAGGAGATTGAAACAGCTAGCAATGTGCTAAAATATGTTAGCAATACCTAGCAAAATAAAATAAAAAACCCGTATTAACATGCTAGTTAAAACATGCTTACAACACCAAGCAAAATGTTAAAAACATTTTTACATTTGCATTTAGTAGACACTTTTGTCCAAAGCGACTTACAAAAGAGGAAATTAAACATTTGGTCAAAAAGCCAAAAATAATCATTATATACAATGCCAGGTTCATTAGACAACCATATTAGGAAGCAAGCTAGAGAAGAAATTTTCATTGGTCTTTCTGACTTTGACTTTCTGCCTGCCAATTTTAAAGCTTTTAAAAGTATTTTAAACATTCAGAATAGGCTTTGTCAAGCCAACATCATAATTTGTCTTGTCAAACTTTGCTCTGGTTATTTTTCCATTTCCATTTGGTGACGCAAGTGGTGACACGCTTCGCAGTGTGTGTGTGTGTGTGTGTGTGTGTGTGTGTGTGTGTGCTCTTACCCTGAATGAGTGTATGACTACATCCTGTGCTTCCAGTTCTCCTTCCAGAATGCTGAGCAGCATCAGAAGTTCAGCTTTACTGAGAGTCTCCACATTCATCCTGCTGCCCTGAAACACACAGATGAATTTTGTATCTGAGTCCTGAAGCAAAACCACAGGCCTGGCCATACAACTCAACACACAATGTTTTAGCAGGTCATGTATGACACAACTGTACTTAGACCAATGAAACAGGATCATACCACACACGGATCAATTTTTCTGGCCTAGAAACGCAATAATGTTCCATGCATTTTATCAGTGAGTTACTCTTGATCTGAAATGGCATTTGTGTGAGTCTGGCATTCATGAACATTAAAACACACACAGCAGTGTTCAGCATCTCTGCATTGTGGCCTGGCTCTCTGTCAGACCACATAAATGCAGGAAGCTATTAGCATATCAGCACAGAGGTCTCCAGTGAACGAGCTCAACTGCTGTACTGTAACAGATTCCCTCAGTCTATTAACACACACACACACACACACACACACACACATACAAGGACAGAGGGAAGCCCGCCAAACACCCGAACACAATCTGTGCGGTCGCTGATTTATAAAATATCTGTTTAATTATGTTTATTCTATAATTACTCCCCTAACCCACAGCTGAACACCATCATAATCAAAGTCACTTAATACAGCAGTATTGTTAATTGCTTAATTCTGATTGGTTGACTCATGTTCCTCAGGTGTAGATTAATTTTCATAACTACACAGAAAGGAAGTACTTCCAGGTTTGACAACCACATTACACCTGCGCATAATTTTGCCACATTGTTCCCGGATATATGCTCCTAGATACTGTATATCGTTCCTCACACAAGAGCGTTTTAGGGATAAAAAATTAAAGTGTCTTGAATAAAAGTGGTTAATGTCGTAATGGTTGTATAATTAATGATGGACAGCTTCACATTGTGGCTTTATTAGCATCCCCCCCCCCCCCCCCCCAATAATTTAATGTCCACCATCAATTATTTGTCAAAACACATGAATAATGTAAGATTTTGTTTTTTATTAAAAAGTCTTGACTTCTATAGTATGGGGAAGAAGAAAAAAACTACGGAAGTCAATGAGTAAATGATGACAGAATTTGTATTTTTGGGTGAACTATCCCTTTAATATTTTTGAGGAAATTGTGATATAAAAAAAAGTCAGGACACTTTGATGAAAAGAAGGTTCAAAAGAACAGCATTTATTTGAAATATTTGTTTGTAACATTATCATAATATAATTATCTTTACTGTCAGTTTTGATCAATTTAATATGTCCTTGCTGAATAAAAGTAACCCCTTTTTCAATAAGTTTTGAATAAGTATTTGAAATAAAAGTACATGTTAGAAGGGATAGCTTACTGATGTATATGCATGAATCACACATTTCATTTTTATGAAATGACAAAACTTATCACAAGAACTTTCTCAATCAATCCTAAAATCAAGAACCTAGATGTGAGTCTTAAGTAAAGCATGGTTTTCTCAGTAAAGTTGGCTTTCTTAGGGTTTTTTCCTCCTAAGACAATCTAAGTAATGAGATCACTTCCTGATATGATTCAATTTGGCCCAACGTTAATGTGTTACTAGGGTGGCTGCAACAAGTAAGTTTTTCTTTTCCTTCTATTGAAAAGAAAGTCACACAGCTTGACCAGACTTAATATAATCTCAGGGCAATGATGTCATCCAGACATTACTAACACACTGCGGATGTGGGCCAGTTTGTAGAACCAGAATGTGTGTGTGTGTGTGTTAAATCTGGAATGCACCTTGATGACTCAGTGATAAAGCTGTCAGTGATCCAGCCTGAGAGTGCTTGTGTGTGTCTGCTTACACACTGATTTGATACGCCCATACCTATTTGCGTTAAACATGGATACAGAAACTCAGTTGTTTGCTTAAGAGTTCCATGTTTATTTTTTATGAATATCAATGACTAATGCTTTGATAAATCTCTACATACAATCGCATGCAAATTAATACACAAACACGACAAAATCATATTTTCAGTTTGTGTGTCAGTTAACCCATTATTTACATTCATTCGATCTAAATAGGAAACAGACTGCATCAATATTCCCGAAAGAATCTTCATCATGCTGCATCCGGTAAAAACACTATCAGTGCAGATCAGATGTGCATCCTGCTTTCATTCATTTCCTCTCAAGAGAACCTGTAAAAACCACACACTTAGGCTATATTGTTTGTGTGAGAGTTTGACAAACATAGGTACCGGTATGTCAAGAGAGGATTGAAACGCTGAGCTAACAAGCAGAAGCGAACAGATCTTGAAAATATTGAAAGTATTTTTAATACAATAGGGTCCTTTCATCCATTTGGATAAGGAAATACTGTCATCATTTTATTAAAGGGCAAAAAAGTCTGAAGCATCATGCCCATTCAAACTGAGTGTGCACATGTGTCCCTTCAGATAAATTGATCAGATTCAGTGATTTATTTTTAAAAACACTCAATTTTATGTTAATTGCATGGTTAAGACAGAAAACAAAATAATTGTGTAATCGTTTTTTTATTTTTTATTAAGGTGCACGACTAAAACATCGGAGCACAGATCACTCATTCACATGTCAAACTGGGTCACCTCAACAAAAGCATGATTTTTTTAAGTTGAACACAAAAATCCACACAAAAAAAAATCTGCTGATCACATCAAGTTCAGTTGAACTTTTGCTTGCTTTATAACACATATCAGGTCAAGATTGGAACTAGAGTTGTCTCTAGCACACAATACCTGTACCACCAGACTACCACATCTTATGCCCATAATTTGAACTAAACTACTGTTAAAAAGTTTTTTTTTCTTATGTCTTATCTATAGTATACTAGAGTATGTATACTATAGATATACATCCCCCCCCCCCCCATGACACGGTTTTCTGTCTAAAGCAACCTCTGACACTATGTCACTAAGACACTATAGTGACAGGCTGTAAATATCAATTACACAAATACCACATTTGACCAAGAACTGCAGAAAAAGGAAACATAACTTTAAACTACAGCAATCAGAAAGAGGAGAGACGATTCATTTCAGCTACGACAGCCAAGATCTGACATACTGAAAGGAGACTGAAATTTAAGCCATTACTTTATTCATGAGAACCAGATCAGTCTGATTTGTGAACAAATTATTTAGACAAGTTGTGTGAAATAGATCAACTGATTCACTTAAAAGATTCTGCGCACAACAACGATGAGCCACAGACTGACCTTGATAATGTTACAAATTAAATAAGTACACCAATCCTGACTGTTCGAAATCAGCAACAGTCGCAGTGAAAAACAAGACTATTTAACAGTATAATGTTTCACAGAGAATAATAAAGCTATGAGGGAGCAAGAGAGTGTGTGAGAGAGACATATAGAGAAAGTTACAGGCTCTGTAGCCAAAAACATATGGCCGGAAAATTTACCCATGTAGATTTCACAACTAGTTTAAGGTGGTTGTGCGAATTGTGCACAACTGGTTCAGGCGATTCGTTTAAAAAAAAAAAGTTGGGTTGTGCCAACCCAAAAATGGGTCAAAAATAGACAAACCCAAGCATTGGGTTAATTTTTTTTTTTTTTTTAACGACCAAAACTTGGGTTGAAACAACCCAGCGTTTTTTAGTGTGTGAACTAGATTCAACTGATTCACTGAAAATATACGACTAAAAAAAATATGGACCAAGATACTTTAATAGTGCTCTTGCTTCTTTTTAATGCTTGAAAACATCACTCTCATTGCTATAATTTCGTGGAAAAGAGGTAATGACGACTAGCACATCTTCAAAATGTCTCATTTTATGTTCCACAGAAGAAAGAAAGTCATACAGGGTTGGAAAGACATAATGATAGTTATTGATAGAATTCTTATTTTTGGTTGAACTATTCCTTTCTTATGTAAGAGGTAGGAAGACAGACCTTTTCTCTTCCCTCATCTCACTGACAACTCACTAAACCTCCGACTTAACCCACAGCTGCTGAGGGCAAGCCTTAAAAGAAACATCAGACTAATGTCAGCTTGCTTAGTGAATCATTATCAGTAATGAGGGAGCGGGACATGTGTCAGACGGGAGTGTGGTTAATGCCGCCACTCTGATGCGTAACCCCATATTAAACCTGCACAAGCCCAGTAAAACCATTATCTGGCAACAAAACGCAATCTCTACACAGCCACAAAGAGTGTGAGAGGGGGAAATATAGAGAAACCATGGATTACAGAGACCGAAAGGAATTCCAGGAATTCACACCCCACACACAAATTAATCAAATATTAACTGAAAGAGACTCCAGACGAGACTGTGACGCGTCGCATACTAATGCATCTCCACTATATTAACAGCAGATCCAGCATCTTCTTCTGTCAAGATAGCCTACATCTTTTCTAATTCAAGACTCTGACTCTGAAGCAGTAACAAAATAACACCATGCCGGATGATTTCAGAAGGAGAACTATGCATAACACTTGTATAAAAGCAACATGCAGTGATTTGGCACGTTGGTAAACCTGACCTGTTCACCCTGCTCTAATGAGGTCACTATATCCTAAACCCTAAACTCAACCCTTTCCCCAGGCTAAGGAGTCAAGCTGGGCTGAAACGCTTTGATTTTCACTGAGCGTAACTTCCTTGTTGCTGTAGATTTGTGGTTCTGAACTAAATGTGTACAGTGGGACTCAAACAAACCACCCAGTGGTTACTAAGGTGGCAAACCACGGCTTCAGACTGTCATTGACATCATTGCTTAAGAGATTTTTTTTTTCCAGTGCACCGCTTTACCTACAGCTATCTAAGACCAAAATCCTCAATCCAGGATGTTATGGGGCAGATTTATTCACAAATTGAAATGGAAGGAAAACTGTCCATTAACTAGATACATTAGAACTAGAGGAGAATCTGCAAAACGAGGCACGCTCTTCTTTGGTGTAATTACGTCCTGACCCAATAAGAGCTCTTCAACCCAGCTCTCAAGTGACTGATTCTGACATGCCAGTCAAAACAGAGCATTTCACCGCATACAGGCTAGACCACATTTCTGCCCTTCACCCACTGACAAACACTTACTGTACATCTCTGCTCTTTAAAATCACTGCTTGTTTGATTCAAAAGAGCACAAATAATAAAACTGAGAGATCACATTCAGAGTAACATTTCACCAAATGTGTCCAAATCTCTGGCAAATGAATTCGATAGCTACAAATTATTACAAACATACCATTTTATGAGTTACACTGTTTTTTTTGTTTTTTTTTAGTACCAAGGATTCTAGGATCAAGGATAAACATGCACTATCAGATATATTTTAAATATTTCTAATTTTGCTAAATGCAGTTACATTTTGTTTTCTGGTGTTCTGGCATAAATACTTATACTTAAATGAGTGAAATTATCTAAAAATCACAAATAATTTCTTCACAATTGGGAAATAACAGAATCGTGACATTTTCAAAACAACTGCTGAAAACATAGCAGGTGAAATATGGAACGAGGATGAATATTGATGTACAGAAACTATAATATGTATATAAAAAACATGCATCTAGAACATAGTAGGCTATTGTTATTATTTTTTTTTACTATATTTACCTATCGCCTATTTCTCTTAAGTTAATATTTTATTTTACCTGTTGTTTTTAATATACACAAGTTATGATCTGGGGACACAGTAACATCATAATTTTGATTAAATAAAGAGAAAACCAATAAAATGATAACTAGAATATTTGTTATATTTTCAAAGTGGAAATATTGCTGTTTTGAAAAATAATGGCAGGTGAGATTTTGTCACATGTCTTAACAATCAGTTTGTGGTTAATCTTTCATAAGCTGCGTGATTAGGAATAAGAGCCATAAATTCAAGCACTGTTCAGCAAAATGCACTGCTGCGGTGGATATCAGATTTCCTGCGGGACACAAAGCTTTCCTTTCAGGGTTTAAAAAATCACCCTGGACATATGTACAATTTCACATAGCCTACTGCTAAACAAGCAATCAGTGCACTTCTCAAACATCTGAAGCACCAACGATCAGACGTGTGACATCAGACCGGGACAAACAGAAACTGGGACAAAATACTTGTTGTGCTACTTAGCATTTACTGTACATACTATAAAGATCACATACAACTAATTATCTAATGGTATATCCAAATTCATTAAAAAAAAAAAATCTGCGTGAGACTTACGTGCATGAGTACGAAAGAACACTGTGTGCAGCAGAAATAATGTTTATCATTTAAAACCGATGTTCAGATGTAATAATAATAGCGAGATAATGTTGGAAATCTGCCCTGGGATCTGAGATTCACTCTTCCACACCAGCATGCTCTAAATATCACATTCACACCCTCTACCCTTTCCCTAATAAGTCATAATTCCAGAAATATTAATTTTATTACCTTCATATGTGTTTTTGTTCGCTCATCAGTTCTCGCGATCACAATTATCCCAGTTTACGGAGTTATTTCTCACTTTCACTGCTGGCTGGCCGTGTTACTGTCCCGGCCGAAAATATGGACTACTGTCACTGACAGATCTTTCAGCCAATAGGCGGAGATCACGATCCAGAATGCTCCGTTCGGATTGGATGTTAGGCCACAGGGGGAGGAGCTAAGTAAGCGTCGGTTCAGTGTCTTTGTCTACGGTTGTTTGTTTTACATGCAGTTTATTGTAGTGATTTCAGCACATTTGATTTGATTTTTGAATCGAAATCTATGATTACATTCCTTCTTTGTGAGGGTCATTTTTTCTGAGACAGTATATTAATGGCAGGATTTTAGACGTCTACAATGTAAAGAATCTTTATAAAAACAAAATATTGATGAGTGTATTATTATATCATTAGCCTATTATAACTGTCACAATATTGTTGCTCTAATGTACGTATTACTCTAATGTAATCGGGTGAGTATGTTCTAATGCTGTCTAGACATTTGTAGTGGCATGGCAAAGGTGAGCAGATAAATGCGCCTTTATTTGAATTTCAGTGAGTGTTACTGTTAATGAGCTCCCCTTTAATCTCATCTTTGTCGCCCCCTCATGGACTCAAAGAGAAAATACACATCACATACAATGATATGAGAAACAAATAGATTTAAATAGTCTTTTTGAAATATCACTAATTATTAAACTTAATTTTAAGATGAAATTAACATGTTATAACATAATATATGAAGCAAGCTGGCCTTCCAGATTTAACTCTTCAAAACGAGGCAACAGACCAAAAAGAAAAAAAAAAAACAGCAATAAAAATCTATGGAGAATACTTGATTGTACATATAATGTACCAGAAAACAAAATTTTGCAGAGGCCTAAATATAAGATTCACTATGAACTTTGATTTTGTACAAAGATTCATGAGGAATCACTGTTTTAGCCAATTGTTTGACTCGACTTTTATAAGTTGGGAAAGTATTTTCATATTGTTTAAGTTGGACTGAATGAGTGCTTGTGGTTTGTGTGTGAGCTTGTCTGTCTTGTGTGGTCACCATGCTATTCTTCTCATGCATGAAATTATTTTGAACTGAGGTTCAATTGAGACTCACTGAAATGGATAAACAGATTAATTTATGTATGCAAATTAGATGCGTTTATGTACATAATTCCCCACTGCACCCAGGTCTCTGTATGTGTGCAATGCAAAAAGAGATTTGAAATCATCATTCATTACTTTTCTAGAAGTTTTTTGGATGCTTTTGGATGTCACAGTGGTTTTAGTCCATCTGTAATGAAAAAAGTAGCCTATTTGCAAACACTACCCTCTATTACAGAATAATGTGTGTTGCTCCACACTCATATACATGTCTTTTTACTAATTTTTCTTTCATTTTTGCCTTCAAAGCCATGATGGTACTATCGTTCGTTTTGTTTTTCATTTGAGACAGAGATGGTGTGAGAGAGAAAGACAGAGAGATATTCAACAAAAAAAATGATCTGGTCGTGATCTCCATTTAAAAAGAAATAAAAACAGACAGGAGACACTGCTGCTGCCAGTATCGATCTAACCAAGCCATTTGTCTGTCATCCTCAGAGCTTTTACACTAATAGATTCCGCTCAGGATCTTTAGCCCTGTGTTTTCACTCGCACACTGTGTCCCTATCCGTCTCTCTTTCTCTCTCTGCGTGAAGCTGTTTTTCTTCTCTTTCTCTCATATTACTTGGCTGTCAGGACATCACTATTCCACACCACACACACACACACACACACACACACACGCACGCACACACACACACACACACACACACACACACACACACACACACACACACACACACACACACACACACACACACACACACACACACACGCACGCACGCACGCACGCACACACACACACACACACACACACACACACACGCACGCACGCACACACACACACACACGCACACACGCACATCGCACGCACGCACACAATGTTTTTAAACTTTAACATGGAAATCATATTTGTTTTTTCTTTGATCACAATACATTTTTATTTCACTAAAAAAAAATACATTTTTATTTATTTAATTGCTATATTTTAGGCAATGTTGTTTGCCATGTCCCCTCTGTATACTTTCTATGATTTAGTTTTATTAATATTAATATTATTTTAATCAATTCTTTAGAGTCTTCAGTATCACTCCATCCTGTTGGTCTTTTTTATAAAAAAAAATCGAAAGATGATTAAAAATGATACAATTTTGTGTTGTCAATAAGCTACAGTAACACTCAATTCCTCACAGAGAAAAATAAACTTTAACTCTTTATTTTCTTCCTGCTCATTTTCTTGCCATTGTATAGTTATAAGTAATGTTTGTTGTCTAGTTATAAGTAAAGTCAATGTTTAACCAGGGGTCCGGGACCCACTAGGGGCAGTCAAATATTTTATTGGTTAGAAATTGCTGAGAAATTGTAATTTGTGACTTTGTGAATCATTTAAAGCAATCTTATTTTCATAAACATAAACAACTGGAAATTGAATACAGAATTTAAACATTTTAATGTTAATTATCTTAATCATTTATTTATTAAATTGTTTATTTATTTTATTTATTTATTTTTATTTTTATTTAATTGACACTGCTAGTTACTGTCATGATTCTGCCCTCGTGTCCTTGATTTTCTCTTGTCTTGAGGCAGGATCATGACAGAATCATGTTTTGTGTGCAAGCACATGGTCTTGTGTTTTGGCCATGTGCTTGTGTTGTCTCGTTATTTTACTCCGCCCCCTTGTTACCCTCGTCTTGTCATTATTGTCTAGTCAGTTTCACCTGTCCTGGTCTAGTCAGCTTCACCTGTCTTTGTCATTAGTGTTCCCCTATTTGATCCCCTTGTTTTGTTGTCCTCTGCCGGTTCATTGCCTTACGTGCCATGTCAATACCCAGTGAGTACCTTGTCGAGTGTTTTGTCTTAAGAGTTGCGATCTTGTAAAAGCCTGTCTTGTTCCTGTATAGTTTTATGTCAAGTCTTAGTCTATTGGGGTTAGTCGTTTACTTTATCTTGTACTGTTTTGCCCCCTCGTGGGTTTTGTTTTCTCTGTTTTCTGTTATAATAAATGTTGTGTGTTTGCATACCGTCTGCGCTTGGGTTCATCTGCTATCTTCATAACAGAATGAACCGGCCACTAAAGAACCCAGCAGACAATATGCCTTCCCTGCTCCAATCGGAGTTCCGTGAGCGATGCTGGTTGCCTGCGCCCACCGACGGTGAGCGGATCAACTGCCTAGTCCCGTCCCAGGGTGAGCGGATCATGAGGGATTATGCCCGCCTCTGGGATCTTTTTTTCCTGGGAGGATCCGCAGGCTTCTTCCTCGAGCTCTCCACCCTCTGCTTGTCTGCCCGTGATCCCGGAGGGTCGCGTCCTCGCCGTGGCTACAATGGGGAACCAGACTCGTTCCAGCTCGACTCCCGAGACACCTGCCGCATCGGTCAGCCTCCGCGGTAAGCGAGGTAGACATTTATCGTGGGAGTCAGTTTCGGAATCCTCCTCTCCAGAGTCTTCCTTGCCGGTGGTGGTTTCCCCAGCTCCAGCGAAGGACCCCGGTGATTCTTCATTACCGGCTACTAGTTCGGCTATGGCCTCTGCCCCGCGGCCAAGGAGGAAGAGGAGGAAGAAGAGGGCTCTCTATCCTCCGTCCCTATCTCCCCCTGTGTCCGCTATGAGTTCTCAACCTGCCGCGGCTACTGTGAGAGCTGTTCCTGGACCTGCTGCAGGAGGCACGATGCCCGAGTCTGTGGCTGAGAAGGCTGATCCTGAGTCTGCTGCAGAGAGGACGGTTCCAGAGTCAGTGGCAGAGAGCGCTGTTTCTGACTCAACTACTGAGAGCGTGGTTCCAGATTCAACCGCTGATAGCGCTGTTTCCGTGACTGATTCGAGGAGCTTGGTTTCCGAGTAGCTTGGTTTCCGAGTTTGCTTTGGAGAGTGCTGATCCCGAGTCTGTTTTCATGAGCGCCGAGTCCGATTCAGAGATTTCGGTTCCCGCTCCACAGCCGTCTGCTACACCCCCTGTTATGTGTCCTGTTCCTTTTCCCGCTGTTTCCCCGGTCAAGAGTCTTGTCTCGCCACCCTCAGCTTCCCCTGTCGTGATTCCCGCTCCGTCGCCCACTGTACCTCCTGTCCCTGTTCAACCCCGGACTGTTTTCCCCAAGACTTATCACACTACACCACCCAAACCCGCCCGGATCTCTCGTCCTAAGCCCACATCCCGTAAACCCAAGACCACTGTCCCACCTACCCACCCTGGACAGTTCCCCAAGAACTTTGTTGTGCCTCCGCCTCCCCTTCCTTGTTTATTATTTTTGATGTTTCATCCTAACCCTGTTGTTGTGTTTTCGTGTTTGCCGTTACTGTTATTTGTCATGTTTTGTTGGTTTGTGTCGATGTCTCAGTCTGTCATGTCCCGTGTTTGATGTCCCCTTGAGGAGCGTCTGGTAGCCGCTCCTTAAGGTGGGGGTTCTGTCATGATTCTGCCCTCGTGTCCTTGATTTTCTCTTGTCTTGAGGCAGAATCATGACAGAATCATGTTTTGTGTGCAAGCACATGGTCTTGTGTTTTGGCCATGTGCTTGTGTTGTCTCGTTATGTTACTCCGCCCCCTTGTTACCCTCGTCTTGTCATTATTGTCTAGTCAGTTTCACCTGTCCTGGTCTAGTCAGCTTCACCTGTCTTTGTCATTAGTGTTCCCCTATTTGATCCCCTTGTGTTTGCTGTCCTGTGGCGGTTCATTGCCTTACGTGCCATGTCAATACCCAGTGAGTACCTTGTCGAGTGTTTTGTCTTAAGAGTTGCGATCTTTTAAAAGCCTGTCTTGTTCCTGTATAGTTTTGTCAAGTCTTTGTCTAGTGGGGTTAGTCGTTTACTTTATCTTGCACTGTTTTGCCCCCTCGTGGGTTTTGTTTTCTCTGTTTTCTGTTATAATAAATGTTGTGTGTTTGCATACCGTCTGCGCTTGGGTTCATCTGCTATCATCATAACAAGTTACTATGATTTATAAGCTGGTTTCCTCATTGGGGCCAAAAAATGTCCCGACAAGGATT